TCGTTGTTTTCATTACCGTATATTCCTACGTGGGCGGGTATCCACAAGAAGGTTATTTGTTTGCCTGCCTTAGTTAAGTCGTTGGAGCTTTTAAGTATTTGATTTATTAATTTAGGTCGGTTTTTGGTATTTTTGTTTTGGAGGGCTTGCAGTCCACTTAGGGAGTCGGTAAGTATTAGGATTTGTTTGTGTTTTTTGGATTCTTGATTATGGAGGGCTGAGGCCATGCCCATTAGTTCTGCCGTGAATCTTGATTGGTTGTTTGGGAGTCGGAAGGATTGTGTGGTTTTAGTTGGTTGTGTGGTATGGACTCCGAAACCTGTGTGTTTGGAGGTCGGATCTGAGGATCCGTCCGTGTAAATGTGACACCAATTAGGCCAATTTTCGTGTATGTATGCTAGTGTGGTAGTTTTAGCTATGTTTGGGTCGGTTTGTTTATTTATTTGTGTCTATTTTGGGTATTTTAAGTTTAGGGGTGAAGATATTTGATTGTTTGCAGTTTTGTTTAAGATTAAGTAAGGGGTGTTTACGAGCTAGGGCTTGGTTTTTGGGGCTGATGTTTTGGTTTATTAAGTTTTGGATGAGAGGGTTTGATTGGGACGCGGCCCAGAAATTTAAGCTTAGCTGTTCCTTGCGTAGACTTAGTGGCAATTCTCCTGTTAAGGCCTGAAGTGAGGTGTAGGAAGTGCCATGTTGGGTGCGTGTAATTAGTTTGAGAGCCTGATATTGTATTGAGTCAAGTTTTTTAGATAGAGAGTTGTTTTGGGTATTGTATATGGCGCAGCTGTAGTCTAGTTTTGATCTAATTAGTGATATGTAGAGAGAGAGGAGGGTATCTTTGGAGGCTCCCCAATTAGAGCCAGTTAGGCATCTTAGGGTGTTTAGGTCTTTACTGCATTTAGTTGTTAGGTTTTGGATGTGAGCATCCCAGGTGAGATGTTCATCGAAAATAAGTCCTAAGAATTTGGTTTGTTTTTGAAATTTGATTGTTTGATTGTTTAGCTGGAGGATTGGGGAGGCGGGTTTCATGTTTTTATGTTTGAATACTATTCCTGTTGTTTTTTCTGAGTTAAGGGAGAAGCCCCATTGTTGTATTTTATTAAGAGATTTTTGGAGTAAATTTTGGACCATTTTCATGCTTTTAGTGCGGATCCAGATGGCTCCATCATCTGTGAATTTTGATGTGTTTACTTTAGGGGATAGGCCCTCGAATAGATCGTTTATCATTATATTGAAGAGGGTGGGGCTGAGGATACTGCCCTGTGGAGTGCCATTTTCTAGGGGACATAGGTCCGATAGAGTTTGGTCTATACCCACGGTTATTTTGCGATTGTTTAGGAAGTCCTGGATGTAGTTTATTATCTGACCTTTGAGTCCTATTTTTTAAAGTTTTTGTATTAGCCCGTTGTGCCATACCATGTCGAAAGCTTTAGAGAAGTCTAAGAAGATGCCTGTGGTATATTGTTTATTTAGTTGTCCTGTCTTAATATCTTGTTCTAGTAGGGCGAGGTTATCTAGGCTTGAGCGGCCAGGAGTGAAACCGCTTTGATCTGGGTTTATGATGTTATTTGGGGTTAAGTAATGTTGTAATCTATTTTTAGCCATTGATTCCATTACTTTACATAAGTTTGAAGTTAGGGATATTGGTCTATATGAGTTAGCTTGATTAGCTGGTTTATTAGGTTTAGGGATTGGTATGACTAGGGCCTGTGTCCAGGGAGTAGGAACCTGTCCGTTTAGGTAGATGAGATTGTATAGTTTGAGTAGTGCCTGGAGTAGTTTAAGGGGAAGTTTTTTAATTATTTGGTAAGAAGTTAGGTCTAATCCTGGGGCTGTGCCCTTTTTCCTGTTTTGGATTACGTAGAGGAGCTCCTCCATTGTGTAGGGTTGATTTATTTCTAGATTGTTATTGTTTGGTTCTTTTGTGAAGCCTTCTCTCTGGACCAAGGCTTATATAGCCAAGGTCACCTGACATTTAGTAAGTAATAAATATAAATGTAAACAGTAATTCATCAGCAGGATGGCAAACAGTCGATGTACACAAGCGACTGATTTACGACATCCATTGTTTGAAGAACATTTGATTGCAAAGGCTCATTACCCTGGAGCCATGACATCTATATACCTTGAAACACTTAATTGCTGTTATTTATAAGATGCTAATCCTAATTGTTATTGAGTCTAAATTGAAATAATTGCTGAATGTTATTCTAATATAGGTGATGACAGATTTGTTGACATATTTACTGGGTGCTTTGAAAGAGATTATGGTGTCACTATAGACGAGCTTGTATGGGGGCTAATCCTAATCCTTAATGAGTCTTTGCAATCAAATGTTCTTCAGACAATGGATGTTGTAAATCAGTCGCTATGACACATCTCTGAGACTAATGTTAACATTGACCCTATTTACCTGCATCACCAAGCCAGTAGCCTCCTACCTGCACCTGAGGGACATCTGGTTAGAGTCTTACACAGACGATTGCCTCGGAACTCGCCCCATCATACCGACTCCAATTCAAAGGAGGCCTCTTCCAGATGGATCTGGACCTCCTCAGGATACCACAGGACAGATGGCTCAAGAGACTATGCCATCTGCTTCCTGCACTTCAGCAACCCCTCATGCTTCGGCAATGGCAGGTGCTCTTGGGGCTACTTACATCGGCTCAGGATCTGATGATCACAGGGTGCCTTAACCTAGGTCCTATTCAACGGTTTCTTGCACCGTAATCAGATGTCAGGATCCGTCGCATTCTTCGCTCTACTGCCAGGAGACATCTCAGTTGGTAGACAGTAGAGTCAAATGTCTTAGGAGGTGTTTACTTAACAGAGTTGTTACCATCACACCAAACTACACACCTATTCCTAGACGGCATTCTACGGGGTTGGGGTGCCCAACTAGAGGATCACACGATATCACACTGGCAGAATCATCTCTAGGACACTCAATGCAACCAAGGGACACACTCTCATTGCGGTTCCTGGTCCAGCACATCCTGAGGCCTTCCATCTTCTATGTCAGTGCCTCGGTCATCCCGTTAACCTTTTTGACACCAGCCAGAACTGCCAGATCCCGACATATGTTTCTCTGGCCCAGGATTCTCAGGCATAGGTGGTTGACGTGCTCTGTATCCCTTGCGCTCTTCGGCCACCTGTAATCCTTCCCAGGTGTTGCTGAAGGTCCAGGCAACCAGGCATCTCACTCTGATTTTGTCCTAGGTGGCTGATCGTCCTAGGTGGCCGGCGAGAGGATGGTTTGTTGACCCCAGAAGTATTGCAGGAGGCGATCCACTTCCACTGCCAGGGTGGGCGAACCTACTCATTCATCCGTGCAGCAGATTACTACACTATGCCAACACCAAGCAGGTTTCATCTGCATGCTTGGTACATCTTAGATGGGCATTTGGCGCAAAGGGCTATTCGGCGAGGGTAGCGAAAGCCATTACAAGGGCACACAGACCCTCGACCAGGGGACTTTATGATGATAAATGGCAGTCTTTTGAATCCTTTTGAAGGATATACTTCAAGACATCACCAAAGTGTCACCTCAATTCCTGACTGAATACCTCTTATATCTGTATACCAAATGACACCTGAAGGGCAGTACCATCACGACATATCTGATGGCCCTTAATTTGATGTAAGCAGTTTCGGAGGAACAAAAGAAGACCCAAGCTTCTTGAACTATAGGCCCTCCTGCACTCCTTCCATCTTGAGAATCAGAAGGCCTCAGGTTCGCCCTCCTGCATGAGATGTGAACTTCTCCTCGCAACATCCTTCTATAACCTCACCAAGAAGACTATCATCCTCTTGCGCTTGGCTACAACGGCAAGGGTTAGTAAGCCTCATGTGCTCAACATTACCCATGTCCGCTGTGAGGGTTAGATGCAGGAATCAGTTCAAAAGTATGCAGTAAATGTTTTAAGGAGTAATGCAGGATAAATATAAAAATGTAAAACATATATATAGATTTTACTAAAACTGTTAGTTGGTTAACCATTTTCAATGTGCCTTAATGCAAGCGGTCTGTGGGGCAGGGGATACTGTAACAGAGTTTGTCTGTCTGTCGATCCTCTTCTCAATGGGGACGAATGTTCTGAAAACTATTTAAGTTGGAGAAATGAAATGTTTCACACTGATGTTACTGGTCATGATCTCAAATGATATTAAAAATTGGTGTCGTAAATTATGCTTTTCAACTTAGTGCATACTTTGTGAAATGGGGACAATTTTTCTCAGACACTACTGGAGGTATATGAATGAAACTTGGTGCCCTAAATTACCTGTTTTTCCAGAGTTACACACTTGATCCATGTTATTTTACTTGATGCCTACAAGTTTAAACATTGGTATCATATATTAATTTTTTCCAGAGTCGAGTCCGTTGCTCTATGGGTTTTTAGATTTTGTGCATTGTGTTTTCAATGGAGATAGGTTTCCTGAGAAACAACATGAAAGTTTGCATGTTTATAAGAGATACTTGTAAAAACTGAGCTGAAAATTTGTGTTTTAGAAAAAGTTCCAATGGCCTTGATCTATGGTATTATACTTAATGTATAGTGGCTGCCATGGGGATAAGTTTTCTCCAACTACTGAAGTTACATGAATGAAAGTTTGCATGCTTAATTAAGAGATTTTCTCATGACATAAAGCCACCCAAGTGCATTTTTTTTTCTCAAGCTTTATTGGACATAGTTAACATTAAATTTCCTATTCCCTATTCCCTTCCCTGATACCATATGAACAAACAAAATTCTAAAGTGCCCCGTGGCAGGGGATAGTGATAATGCTGGTTTGGTGTTATTTTTCATTTTAATGTGTGTATTCTGACCCCTGTTTTTGACAAGTATGAGTCAGCTCTCTTTGGGTGCAGCCTTACTCTAGTTTAGGTGGGAGAGTTGTTACTTAATCACTGTGACAGACATGCAGTGAATCTTTATGGCACATTTTTATGAAGACTTGGCGTTAAATAAATAAGTTTTCTGTGTACAAATTAACAGAAGCAGAAACAGCAGCAGCAAAGTCGTGGTTATTCCAAGCCCCAACAGAAGAAGGAGGACAAGAAAGAACGCAAACGACCACAGAGTTCTACCAACTCTAAAACTACCAAGGAGTTGCTGGGGGAACTGTTTGCTGATAAAGAATACCTTGAAAAGCTCTACGACGGTAAGCCTTTGTTTTGTGAAGATTTAAAAGCTATTGGCTTTTGTGTATCTTTTGTGCTCCAATTTCCATACAATTTTGTTGTAGGACTTACGACACTACTTCATATATGAAAGCAAAGTATATACTTACTGTTGTCAAATAACAGCAACTATGACTTATTTATCATTAAATAAAATTATGACATATATACCGAGGTCTGAGTTGTGTTTCATGTATCGTCTGTCAAAATCTTCTCCAAAACCACTGCATATATGGACTGAAACTTGGCACAATGATGACACCAAACATTGTTTGAGAAATTTGGATCTAATGCTCAACACGGTACTGCAGCCATATTGTAAAAAGAACTTTAGGCCATTGGACAGTCATTTTTGCAGATAACGAACTCAACCTGGTATATGCATACTATGTAGTGGGGCAAAAGATGTATATGTTTATTTTCCTCCTTAATTTGAATTTTAAGCTTGATTTGACCTCTGCTCATGAATTCACTTACTGTAGATCATGAAATTAATGTGTCTCAAAATTAATGCAAGTGTTGACCCTAAAAAGTGTCATGAAAGTAATGGGAGTAGTCCTATCTTTAAACTATGATAGCTAATCAGCAAACGATAACACCAAATTACTAACTCATCCTGCATTACTCCTTAATGCATCTACTGCCTTTTTTTGCCAGAAACGAAGCTGTGCAATGTTCTCGGCTGAAGAAATCGAAAGTTGTCCTAATAAAGTTTGACCCTACACAGCTTGCCACGTGACTGAACGGAAGTGATGTTGTCATGGATCTGCATATTCCTCCTTGTCATTTTTAGCTTTAAACATGTGGCTACACCTGAATTCCTTCTTTATGCTTACCACCCACAGTGTCTGCATTGTACTCAGATTTGAACACCAGATTTAAAATCTAACTTCTGTTCACCTCTCTCCCCAACAAGTTTTACAAGATGCACACAGGTATTACGTAAGTGTATTGTTCAGCAGTCCCTAATGCACGCAAGAAGAATGTCTGACTCACAGGTTCATCCCTCCAGCAGTCCCCGGTCATCATGAATCAGCCCTCTACATTGGGTTGGGCTTTATCCAACATCCCGGGGATATTCAACATTCCTTTACCCCCGCTGCACACCAAGGCGCTGGGCACCTATATCTACCTTTCTAGCTACACCCTCCCTTGCGCACTCCCTTGCACACTCCCTTGTGCTTCCACCAGGCAGGTGCTGGCATGTGCATCTACCTTGACATTGCTGTCTACTCCGGCTTCTGCAATGATGACCACCATGCCGGGCATGTCGATGGTGGCTGCATCTTCAGGATTACCCACTACACCTGCACTGACCACTGCGCACTGCCAATTACCAACTGCGCCTCCTGCTTACCCGCTGATGTATGATCAACCTTCTATGCCTTACATAGACACAGCATGGATGCACAACTTTATGCTGTCAATGTGGCATCAATCAATGACACATATGTATCAATCACCTATGCCTGTGTATCAGCCAAAAGCGTCAGAGCCTCTGGCAACATACTTTCCGCCAGTGCCTCCATCAACCATAACTCCTGTGACTTATCAAGCGCCTGTTGTCCTGCCAGCATCTGCCATGCAGCAGATTCCTGCAGTATTATCTACACCCTCTATGTTGATGGCTATGCAATTAGTAGGTTTGGCTAAACCAACCTGTACTTGGCTTTCTTCTCAGCTATAAGTGTCACCCGACGTCTCTTCTATGCGCTCATCTTGACCATCTCAATCTTTGCACCGCTCCTGTCGTCTTACGCAACGCTCCATGGCCGAGGGCTTTGACTCTTCTGCTCAATGGAATAGTAATCTCAGCTTGGCCCAGATGCTGGATTTGATGGTGGACTGTCTGAATGTGGTAGCACTGTCCCCTGGTCCCGGAGTTGACAAAAGGGACACCATTTGGTTCCGTCCGACATATAATACGGCCTGATTCCATGCTTAGGGATATGGTCAGGGCCTTGGACAGGGATTTCTTCAGATTATCCCTCTTCCCAGCGTTCAAGGTGCCAATGTTTAGGTAGGATGACTTCCCTATTCACACCTTTGAAGTTGCTGACCAGGGGCACACCTTAGACAAGGACCTCCAGAGGATGACCGGCTCGTCCAAGTCAACTACGACTAAGATTCCAGATACTCGACTCAACTTAATCAAGACCGAAATCAGGCGCACACTTAAACCCTTGTCGGTTCTGGCCTCTTCATCTTGGGCCATGGAACAGGACCTTGCTGAGACCAACGCCAATTGTCTAGACCACTTAGAGACAGTGGTAGACTTTCAGCAAAGACAGTTATACTATTCGAGGAATCACCTCTGGGCAGCCCTCATGGAGATCACCATTACCTGCCAGCTGGGTTACTTGTTTCTGTTCACCTGGGATTGCAAATTTAAACACAAGCTCCTTCGTGAACCATGGTCTACCTCTTTATGATTCAATGATCAGGTCACCAAAACCCACACCAAGGTCTCAAGCTAGAGATGAGACAGTGCTCAAGGCTTTGGAGCCTGTCTCTCACAGTCTCTCAGCAGTCCACCAAATCAGGAAACTATCGACCAAAACACTCCTCCCTCAAAGAGTTGATACAGGAGCAGCACTCTTTTCGAGGCCGAGGAAGAGGCAGAGGCAGAAGCAGAGCTCAGGACTCTCAACAGTCCCGCCATGGTAAATCCAAGGGCAGGAGTGGGAATGAGATGACAGGGGAAAGCAGTGAACCCTAGGACAATCACGACTTGGAGTTAGGAGACAAGTCGTCCCAATTGTTGACAACCCAGTAGGTGGGAGACTCGGCCTCTTCTGGTAGAACTGGATCAGTTTGGCAGACCCCTTCTTACTACACCTACTGCGGCATGGTAGTCGCCTAGACCTGGCCATAGACCCTTAGCTGACCATGACTCCACCAACTTGGCTCTACCCCAGGAAACAACATCAGCCACTTGGCTCTAACACAGACATCCTGTTGAAGAAGTGAGCCATAGAGATTGTACACACCCCAGCATTAACACGGGGCTTCTACTCTCCCTTCTTCCTGGTACCCAAGAAGAACTCAGACAAGATGCAGAAGATCCACAATAATGCCGTGTTCAGCGAGTGCTTGGAGCATCCGCCTAACTTCCACCTCACAACCATGAGACTGCTCAGGAGCAGTGTCAATGCTCATGACTCCCTGATCAGTCTTGACTTGCCGGATGCGTACCTGCATATACCTATCCATCCTAACAACTGCAGGCTCCTTAGGTTCCAATTCAATTTCATACACTACCAATGGGCGGTCCTGCCCTTTAAGCATTTCAGTGGCCCTGTGGCTACTTGCTTGACTCACCAAGGCTGTAGCTGCCTTCCTACAACTGAGGACATTCGGTTTGAGTTGTAGATAGAAGACCGTCTCCTGAACCATCCAGACACAGCTGCCCTGAGTTTGCTAGGCGCCTTCTTTATCAATTGGGATGGGTGGTCAACAAGGCAAAGTCAGAAATGGTTCCATCCTTCCAACTCCAGTTCATAGGGGGCCTGTTATATAGATGTCACATGCCTTTCAACAATACCACACTCTCCACCAATAGCAAGTTTTGTAGTGGTTTGGTGCCTGCGCAACCAAGGAACAACGCATTCTCACTCCCTGCTTCAACAGACATTTCGGTTATTTCATCTGGTGGATCATCTGGGTCTACAATTTCTAGTCCAGCACATCCCTGGATGTCGGAACATTCTGGCTGATCCTTTATCCAGGCCAGTTAGGGTGGCTCCCCCAGTGGAAAATCCATCCAGAGGCATTTCAGCCGGTGCCTCAGCGGTTCGGTCAGACCAACATCCTCTTCGCCGCGCATCAAAACTACCAGCTAAAGACATACAGTCATTCCTCACAATAATGCCCTTCATGATACCGCATATGCCACTGGCTCCCATAAATTTTATGCTGGTTCCCAGGTGATTACATGTATTTGGTGACAGTACAGTAATTACCTAATAAAATAAATATCCAAACAACTGAACACCTAGTTTTTTTTATTGGCTAGTGTTAGCCACAACACAGGCACCCTTTGGGGCTAGTTGAAGGAGAAGAAAAGCTGAAGGGATTTGTGCTAGAGACAGAAGACATCGGAAGCCTTGGCATGATGAAGGCAAAGACGGCGTATGATCAGACACTCGACAAGGCACTGTTTGCGTGGTTTATGCCATCACGACATGAGGGCGAAATCATGAAGATTCAAGATCAGAAGATGTCCAGGAATATTCACGGACCAGACAATCCATGCAGTTGATGGCCATGGCACTTTCAACAGCATCATGGAATCAAATCATTCACAGTAACGGGAAGCAGCCAGTACCTATCTGGATAAACTGTGGGAGCTGTTTCAATCAGAAGGCCTGCGACGTGACTGCCCTCTATTACAAGTTGCTGCCTGACAAAAATTTGGCCATGCCTGAAGACATACACCTGGCTGGGTGCAAGAAGGCCAAACAGTGAATAACCGTGCTACTCACTAGTAACAAGACAGGGAACCACAAAATTGTTTCCATTTCCATTGCCCGCTCTGCTGCTACAAAGACTGCGTGGATGACCAGTCGGCGAGCTGTTTGTAAATTATCGTTTATCTAAGTAAACAAGCAGTTAAAATTTACTTTATACATGTATACTGCATCTGACTGTAGATAACACGATCTCATAGATAAGCTATGGTATGAAGTTGGTCGTTGAAATCTGTATCAAAATGTTTTTTGCGGTAGATAAGCCAGACCCCCAACCTAAAACTACGTCTTGTTGTGATTTATCATCGGAAATAGAAAATCAACAAGTCCATATTGAATTACGCAAGTTAATCGTGTCGTTACCCCATCGGTAATAAAAAGTGTGTAATTGTGTATCTGGACTCATGTTTGAAATCTACATAATCAATTTTATTAATTTTAATCAAACTTTCTGTGTCCATCTGGTACTTACAACTTATGTTTGCCCCATTTCATGAGATCACCAACTCAGC